TACATTTTGTAAAAAAATGTGAACCATTTTAATCTGTTTACCACATCTTGAGAACTCATTTTATCTGTTAGCTACTCATATACACCCATAGAAGTGTACCAATTGGTCTGGGATAGAATATATGATAACTTTTTAATGTCAATTAAAAGCACCATCAGGTGTGTTTATGTATAAAATCGACTAGGATAACTCTTTTGAAGAAATCACTACCTAACCAACTGATTCTATAAATTTTGATGAAATAACTAAATATGTATTCACCCAGTAGAGCATACCAGTAAAAACTACTCTTCTCTACAGATACATATTCACCAGAGATAATAGAACAGCAAGAATAATTCTGAATCTCTAAGTAACAATTTACATTTCTAGCTCTCATACTGCTTTTATAGCTAAAATTCACTCTTTCTGAAAAGAAAAAAAAGGACAAATATTTCAATGAATTTTTAATGATTCATAAGCAAAGCTGGATAGTCAAACTTCAATTAATTTTCAAACTTTATGAAAACAATTGTAAAACTATTTTATGATTGCTAAGAGTGCCATATTCATCTTTGAATAATTAGGTAACTCTGCTATCTTAATTCAAACTATTTGTTAGTAAAATGGAACATACCTGCTAATTTAAATTGAGAAAATGAAATATAAAGTGTTATCAACACTTTTTACAGTAGTTATTTCTTTTAGATAGTAACAGCATGTTTTTCCTTTAGAAAAAGAACACTAAGTTTGATTCATAAAAGGAAAACTAGCTGTAGTTAATATAATCATGCATATTATACTCTATTTTTACAGCCAAAGGTAAAAATGAAAAAGAAATGCATTAGTCATTCAAGCAAATATTTAAAAAAAGCTCTCCAAACAAAGGAGGTTGAAGTGATCAAGTCAATCATCAAAAATGTAGTGATAATAACTAGAATATAGTTATTTTTTCAACAGTAGTGATATTGAATAAAGTCTAGTATTTAAATAGTTTGGGGATGTTTGTCTATAAATAGCTGTATCATCTCATTTTGATATTTTATGTAGAAATACTTCAAATGGTCTAATTTTGTAGAGCAGAATATTAATGATATAAATAATGGTAAGTAAAGGTAAGTAAAACATTTCTAAGTATAAAAAAAAGGAACCCTTTTCCTATACCAATTGTATCCTATGTCAACTGAAATAAAGACTTAATAGTATTTACTAGTGACACTATTACAAGAATATTTTCAATCAAAGGAGAAATTTCCATGATAAATGCAGGAATTGTCCACCCTATTTTCTGTCTTATATAAGGAAATGAAATCCTCTTACCTGTCACCCTGACGCCCAAGACAATATGTCTACCTCAAAAAAAAAAAAAAAAAAAAAAAAAAAAGCTTAAAATATCAAGACCCAACCCTCTGCCCGGCTCTTTCATGGTTATAAAGCCAAAAGCTACAACTCTTCATGGTCCCTTCTAGTTCCAACAATCTATGATATAAATAGGGGTAATGGCTCCCTTTTTTGGTCAGTAGCCTCCTGGTGAGGGAATAATTTTAATATCCCTTTTCTGGGGGGTCCTGCCACTTTATTTAAAAGGAAATGAATTACAACAGGATCACAAGGCCACAAAACAATGCCATTTAGTTTTACAAATTATGTCCTCCAATCTGTTTTATGGGTCAGGTCCTTTTATAAACCAAGAAAAACCCTGAAGCAAATGTTCTTCCTGGTCTTTCCATTGAAACACCTACAAATTTATGACTGTTTTTCAAACAATGTAGCCCCCAATTTTTTCCCTTATGGGTTTTTATTTTTCCTGTAGAACCCCACCATCCTACTTTCTCAAATATACAAAACATTTAGAGACAAGAAACTGGACTTTTCAAATACAAACTGCTGACAACTGTCAGAAGCACTTTACAGGGGACATTACTGACTGTAGCTTCAATGAATTAAGCTTGATTCACCACGGGTGAATCATTTTCAATGCAGAGCTGTTCAACAGTAATTGGCCAAGAATCCCTGCTGTGAAAAGCACTTGTCAAATAATGCTTGTTTACAAATATATCTCCAGACTGCAAAAAGTGGCAGTTACTGAATAAGTTCAGGGCCACCTCCAGTATTCCTAACAGTGGTCATGCTCGCATTACGTATTAAATCTATTAAAATTTAGACTTGTTGATACATTTGTCCTGCTTGCTCAAGCTCAGTTAGATAAGTTTCTTGCTAAATACGCGTCTGCATTATTTTACAATAAAAAACTTCTGTTCATTGTATTGTAGTCAAAGATTTCTTCCATATGTAATCATATCAATCCAGGATTCGAGACATATGTTTGGCCTTTTCTGTTCAATTCTGCTTATTTATATCTACCGAAGTTAAATTTTAAAAATGACTGAAATACTAATTATGAATATAAATTCATATTTATTTCTATCTGCTTTGAATTTTTTCTCACATAATGGGAGTATTACATTTTACACATATATTACATATATATACAGTGGGAAACCACTAAGCATCTATAGGCTGCAGAAAGCAAAGCATATGCTAGCAAGTTATTAATGGATTCAGTGCATTCATCAAATCTTTCTGCCCCTGATCTTCCAAAGTTCCTCCCGAAATAAACAAAAACGAACTTTAAAACTCTAGTCTGAATCTTTAAATAAACAGACTTACTGCTGTTATATCTTAATATATTCTTGTTGTTTGAATTACAACACTACCATAGAGAAACAAAAATAACATACATTTTAGAGAAAAACAGTAATAAAGGTCTGGGATGATATTAATGGAAAGATGGAAAACTGTTGGGGAGAGACGGAATGAATGAGATGAAGTCATATATATTAAGATTTTATTTCTAATTATGCAAAATAGTGACACGTTATAAAATGTGCTCTAAAGAGCAGACATGCTTTTATTTTTAGTGTCTTCAGAGCAGTCGGTGGTCAAGTAGCATTCATTTTTTGGTTGGACCTCTGCAATCTCCATCTCACTGTAGCCCAAGTTTGGCTGTGTGCTCCACTAGCTGAGGGAAGAACAATACAACCCGTGGGTGTTAAGTTTATAAAATCAGCCGGTCTATCTACCACAGGATTCAAGCTCCATTAACACCTTAGGAGACCGGCTATTTCCTTGCTTGCCTCCATTTCCTTCTGCTGCTGCTGCTGCTTTTCCACACAATCTTGGCCCATGTCCCCATTCAGTATCACCCTCCCTGAGACTTCATTTCTCCCCAATCTCTAAGGAAAGCTATTAACTCCCTTTCGTTTCTACATACGCCCTTTACCCCATCACACCTGGGGTCGGGGTGGGGATGGGGGGAGAGAAATATAAGGAGAGCACGAGAGAATTATTATTACTCTTTAAATCCAAACCGGGATGTCCCTTTCAGTGGAATAAAACAGTTAATAAAGACTCCTAACCCTGTCACAAGCCTCTGGACTTCTAACATAATCAATCCAGCATGAGATGTTAATAAAAGGACTATGACTACAGATAACACTTTTTCAACTTTATGGGGGACATGCAAATTGCTTGGATTAAGCATGAGAAATTGCAGATAGATGATAGATGAATACATCGATAAAACTACATATAATCCTTAAATCAGATTTAAAAATTCAGGAATTAAGGCGAGTTCATGGGATGGGGTGGGGTGGAGAGCCTCGATCTGCCCTGCTTTTACCAGGTTGCCGAGGGAGCTGGCAGCCTTCCGAAACTAGCTGAGCGCCTTCTCCTACAGCCAAGACAAAACCGGTGCGAGTCACGAGGACACACACGACTCCGCCGCTGCTGCTTCATCTTCCCAGTCCCGCGTCCCCTGCCCCAGGAGTGGAAGGGATTTTTTTTTTAATTCTCTGCCTCGCTCATGGTATCCAGAGTCCCAAAGCAAAACCTTAGCCTTCCAGAGAGAGGGTATGGTTTACGATGTTTTCGTGGAGGAGCTGAGCGCTCCTTTAGCCCTGACTGGGATGTGAGAGGCTGCCCCACACCGAGGAAAGCGCCCTTGAGCTGAGACCCGAGCGCACAGAGCAGTCTGGGTGCGTGAGAGGTGGGAGCTTGGCCGCAGCAGTCCAGGAGGCCAAGGGCTGCGTGCCGGGAGGGGGCAGGCCGAGGGACCAAGGGCCGCGGCTCCCGCGCCCGGCCCTCCTCCTCCAGTGGCAGGTGGGGACAGTGTTTTGGGTCCAGAGAGTTGGGAGAAGGGTTGGGACTTCGGGATCCAGTGCCCGGCTGCAGCGGGACTTTCCCGTCCCAGAAACCCTGAGAGACAAGCCCCAGGGGGTCCAGCAGCAACTTCCTGGCAGTGACATTCCCCCACTCCCCTCTGCCTCACCCTGCACCCCACCTCTCCGCCTTCTTCCACTTTCACCTCAGTGTGATTATGAGCCCCCTCTCCACCCCCAAAGTAAAAGGCACCCTACAGTATGGAGCGCCTACAGTCCTTCCCTGGAGAAGGGCTCCCTGGAGAAATAACAGCTCTTGCCACCCACCCCAGAATAGCAGCTGGCGATTCTCTAAATAACAGCTCCCAGAAGGCACTTTCTCTCAAAATAAAAGCATCCAGCCACCCCCACAACGTTTCCCATCACCGGCCTCAAATAACGGTTTCTAAAAGCCCCACTACTGCCCCTGAGATCCTTGTCGCTGCGCTTCCAACAGTTCCCACTCCCTCAAGCCCGAAATGTCACTTCCCCACGCGCTTCTGGTGAGCCCCTGCCGCACCCAACCGCCTGGCGCGGGTCTCAAACCCGTCTTTCAACCTGGCTTCCAACTTCCCAGGCCCCAAACAGCCTCTGTGCGCAGGCCGGTTCTTCGCCCAGCACTCCGCAGCTCATATCAGACAATACAACCATAGACAGCAGGGCGAGCCAAAGGCAAGCGAAAGCCCAAGTCAAATGTTAATTCGCAACGAGGAGTGAGATCTCATCCACGGCAGCAGCGCCCAGCGCGCTCAGACCCGCACTTCCAGGCCCCGCCTCGACCGCCCGCCCCGGGTCGCCGCGGGGACCTGCCCATCTCTCTACCTTCGTTGCTGGGGCTGGCCAGGAGGGTCCGGAGCGCGGCGCACAGGAGAAGGCACGTCCAGAGGGGGGTCCTGCGAGGTGCTGAGCAGCAGCCGGCCAGAGACGCGCGGTTGCTGGGGGGGTCGCCGCCGCCGCCACCCGGGGGCCGCCTGCGTCCCGCACCCCGGGGCCCCGAGCCCCGCATCTTCTCCTAGCCGCCTCCGCCTCTGTGCTGTCCCGCGCGGCTCAGTCCACGGCTCCGGCGTCGCGGAGGGGGCGAGGGAGGCTCGCGGCTCCTCCTCGTTCCCCGCGGGGTCTTCGCCTTCTGGCACGCGCGGCTCCTGCAAATGCGGACACCACGGATCCTGAGCCGGCTGAAGTTTGCTCCCTGCTCCTCTCTCCCCAGTGCGGTTAAATGAAACCCTAGTTACGGATGATCGTGCGATTTTGGACTCGACACAAGGGTGTCGAAAAGGTCCCGCGCGTCCCGTCCCTTTGCCTCTTAAGGCTTTTAAGGATTGAGGACTTGTCAGTGCCACTGGGGGTAAGAAAAATAAAGGCTTCTTTTCAGTCTTCAGGGCTGAAGGAGGAGAGGGTAAGGAAGACAAGTCATCTTAGGTCAAGAAGCAATCCTCAATAAAAAGAGGAGAAAACAAGAAAAACTGGGTAGCTAAAGATAAAGGAAGAGGAGTTGAGAAAATATAGGGTGGGGAAACTACGAAAGCGGCGAGCAAAGGAAAAGAGCCAGAGAGTTCACAGAGGCTGGCAGGAGGACGGAGCTGCGGGCTGAGCGCTGGCGAGGGCAGGTACTGGCGGCGCCGGCGGCGCGGAGCTGCTGCGGTTCCCGTCGCTCGCGGAGGCGGCGGCGTGTGCGCGGCGGCGAAGGCCAGGTGGGAACTGCGCCGCCACGGCGCGCTCCCGCTGTGTCTAGAGCTCCGGCGTCTCCTCGGCCTCCCCGCTCTGCACCTCCCACCCCCTCCCTCCTCCTCCTCCTCCGCCCAGCTCCCCCTCCCTCTGCTGCTCGCAGCCTCGCGGGTGAGGATCTACTGTACGTGTGAGTTCCTTGAACGAAGTCACACACCCACGGAGGGAAGTAATCTGGAGGCTGCCGTGGTGAGTGTTGCCTAGCGGTCTCCGGGAAAAGCGCGTCTCCCTCCCGGGTTAATTAGGGCGAAGAATCCTCCTGACGTCGCCTGCGAGGACCCGGGCTCCCGGGAGGCGGAAGGGAAATCAGCTCTAGCTTAGCGGGCAACCCCTAGAGAAGCGGGTCCCTTGGTTTGGCGTATTGCCCGCTGCCCATCACAGGCTCCTGGCATCAACAACCTTGTCGTCACATAGCCACGCATTCACAGGCTCTGCCGGTCGGGGGCTAGTTTCTTAAACACCCATATCGCTCGCTGCTGCAGACCCTTTCTATTCTTTCAATCCTTTGGCGGCTGGAATGGGATTAGTCAACATTGTCTTCAGAAATAAATTGTAACATTTCTAAATATAGAAACGGTAGCGAGGATTGAGAATTCAGGGAGTCAAAGAACTTGACTTGTGATTTGTGGTGTGCCAGGTACTTTAAGATGTGATGACTTAATTCATTAATTTCATTGATAGAATGTTTTAGCTATTTTAGAAATTATGTGATATGAAGATACATGCTATTCATTCCAGTGAAATTGGCAGTGGTCAAAAAATTTAAGGGCTTTAAAAAATTATTTTATTTTCTTCTGTTGTGCACTGAGAGACTTACAAATGACTAAGAAAAAAAAACAGTTTAAAACAATGAACTTTCTATGTTTCACCTCTATATGTTTTCTCTTGTGTTAATATTTTTCTTCGATTTTCTATTCATTCTTTCAAAGAGGTACCTCGGAAGGGCAATTTTAGTGTACTGGCGTAACAAAAAGACTGCAAAGAAAGCATCTACAAAAAAGTGTGATTTTAGAAGAAAGCTATCTTGTTTAATTTGGCATATAGTAACTACTGCAAAGATTAGACTTGCCTTCACACCTAATAAGGGTGAGTCTGCTCACATGCTTTCACATCTCCAGTCCTGTTTGTCTTCACAGGAAATTTCTCATCATCTTTAGGTCATGACATTTGTTTTTGTTTGTTTAAATATTTACAATAAATATGAAAGGATAAAACAGCAGAGATGCAATTTTGTAAAGAGGTGGGAGCTTATCTTTGATTTTGATTTTTTCTGAAATGCTTTGGCACCAGAAATCTAAATGCTGCTTCTTTCTATTATAATGTACTCCAAATGCATGAAGCAAATTTAAAGGAATAATAGTGAATCAATCTTTCAGTTTAGCAACAAGTGAGAGGCAAAGTTAAAATTTATGTTTCTATTTGAAGACCATTCAAAATGTAAGCTCCTCCCCCCAAATGTACACTTGAGTTATTTAAAAAATGTCTAAACAGAATATCAAGTAAGTTATCTAAAGCCTAGGAATACATGATAATGCTATATGAGACATAGGCAGTTTAATGGGGCTTTGAGCTAGTTGTTTTACTTCTGTATGCCTCAGTATCCTCATCAGTAAATGAGGGATTTGGAGATATTCAAGCTTCCTTCTCTTCCATATCCTTTGTATTTTTATGTTACTACCCTGTTAGTCTATCTTTAATTATTTACTGTTGACTACAAAATTACCAAATTTCTTCAGCATAGTTTAGTGCCTTCTACTACAAAGGGCTTAAACAAAGTTTCTGTTTTATTTTACACTAAAGTTTTAAATGCAGTGTCCCCTAAATTGTCTTGTACCTCTCTGTCTTTACATCTGTCACTCCATTCTACAGAAGTTCTACCCTTAAAATATTTAACACCCTCCACTCCCCCCCTCCTCCCCCACCCCCCACAATACACACACACACAACCCTCTCATCTAAATCCTACCCAGTGTCCAAGGAGAGTCAGGCATTCAATACCGATCTTTTCTTTTTTCAAAAAGAAGTGATTTGGTTGTCTTTCTCATAGTATCCATAGCTTATGATTTATGTCAATCAACACAATTGGCAATATGTTCTGAAAGGAAAACCAGAACAAATTATCTAACAATTATATATCTATGAACAAAGAGACAGAATTTAAACTAGGAATGTCAAAGAAAACCAGGGACACGACGTTATGGTGGTTCATTGTGTTATCTCCTACCCAAGATAGCTAACTCATTAAGTGACTGAGAGGACAGAATGCAAAATCCTTTGTATTCTCCACCTTAAATAGCAGCCATCTTTCTGATGATTATTTAATAATATTTATTAAATAACTTCAAAAGAATGAACATTTGTAAAATGAAGCCTCAATGACAGCAATAAATGGTCTAATGAGGGTTAATCAGAGAAGATAATGAGGGTGGTTTGGCTTGGGCCAAAGTCTCAAAGGAGATGTTACATTTGGTCATGTGTTGATCTCTTGGCATGGAAATACTGTTAGCATACTTACACTGGACCATGGCATTGCATGAAAAGGAGACTTGATTTTTCCCTTCACTCGTACTTACTGCTCTGCACAAGAAAAGGCTACGACATCAGCACTGATTTGGATGTCCTATTATTTGCATTTCTCATTGTTGGGAACAGTTGGGATAACTGTTGTGACCTCAAAACATGAAAGTCATTGGTGTCTCCCTAGATCTCTGTTTGGATCTGGCTTTTCTACTAAGCTTTCTTGAAGAAGAGAGATTCAGAATCACCTTGATAAATTGACACCTTGAAAGTTTACTACCCTATAAAAGGTGTTATAGTTCAGTGTATTAATATGCCTGAGTATATCTTGACTACATTCAGAGCAGAACAAAAGCAATTATAATAAACAGACATGCTAGAATTTACTGAAGTTTTGGTATGTGTGAAGCAGTATGGGAAGTTTTACATTCATTATTTTACTTAATGCTGACACTTCATCCGTAATGTCAGTGTCATTATTAGCCCCATGTTAATGATGAGAAGACTGAAGAAATGAGGTTAGACAACCTGAGTAGTCTCGCCACTGGTAAATATGGGAATTTAAACCCATGGCACTGACTGTATTTGAGAAAATGGTAATGTAACAGAAGTTAAGAATAAATTTGATAACCAGTTGTTCAGAAAAAGAAAAAAGAGGACTACCCCCCAAATTCTTCATTAATGGGAATAATTAATAGATATAAATATTCCAATTTTCAGGTTCATATAAATCCAAAAGCAATTAACCAAATAGTAAAGTATAGGTCAGATAAATGAATAGGAAAAAACAAGAAATGAAGGATTATAAATATGCATTACTTGGAGGAAAACACTGCCTGTCTCATGTTCACGAAAACAGGCACACAATTTATCTGCGTAAAATGGAGACAATGGACCAAATCAAGAAAACTAACAAGACTGAGGTGTGTCAACAGATAATATTAGCACAAACATATGGCACGAAGCCCATGTAAACCATGGTAGAAAACATAAGTAACAGTCTTTACAAAACTAATCCAAATACAACTCTATAAACCAAACAATATGTTTTCCTAAAATGTAATCTTAGCAATTTTTTACATAACTGTTTAAAATGCTTTTGGCACTTGGTTACATTCTTTCCTTGGGAAAAAAATAACAAACAAAAGCAAAACAAAAATTAAACCCCTGGTAGAGTTTAGATGTGAAAGTATAAGATACACTCATGAAACTGTAAGATACTTTAATGAAGTTAATTTTTCAGGTCCACGATTTGCTGAATAGGATACATATATGGTGATGTTAATTATTTTGATCCCAAAGGAAAAGACTGACTAAAATATATTTAAGCAATCAATAGCTCTCAAGTTCACAACCAAGATAATCCTAACATATTCATTATTTTATATATTGCATTTTAATTTAATTATAGAACAAAATATTTAATTTTTGTTCATTGTTATTTTGTTTTTTAAGAATTTTTCTGAAATCTTCAAATCCCTTCTCTTTATTAATGACCCCCATTTTACCTATTAATACTAAATTTAGTTTTATTTTAATTGATTATAAATTGTTATAAATTGAGGGTTTCATTTAAAAATAATAAATCTAAATCATTTTAATAATGAGACTTTAAATATATAAATTATTTCATTAACAATACATTAAATATTTACTCATCAGAAACTTTACTTAACATGTTTATATCATAATCAGCACCCATTTTTTTTCTTTTCTATGAATATTGAGAGAATAAAATCTTCTATTGTCCATGACTATTAATAGCGAGTTTTCTATCAAAGAATAAAAAACTAGATATTCACATCAATTAAAGTGAGCCAAAGAGCCTCAGATTTTCATTGTTGGTGGTGGTGGTTAGTTTATTGTCCAGTCAATCCAATATCAATGTGCTAGGATGGCTGACATTGCAGCATAGGTTGAGACCAAAGCTGCAGGAATTAATGAGGAGTCAAACTGACCTGCCAGTAAGTATTTTGGCTGTTGTTTGCCTCCAGCATCTTGGACAATTAGAGTCATGTGAAGATGTGAACACTGAAGTCACGTGGACTCTCAGGGCTGAAGACGTAGGAAAAGTGTGGGCAGAAGAGGCACAAGACTGAAGTGATACACTGTGAGTATGACTCGCTTCACTTCCACTTCCACTTCTTCTAACCCATATTCTGGAATCCAGAAGTATTTGCTGATAGGTGAATAATAAGCTATACTGTTTTTCATATTCAGAAGATTTTTGTTAAACTCAATGTATATACTGACTTAAAATTCATCAACAATCCACTTATATACGAACATTTCATAATATAATTAGCTACAGTTTGCGAGAGGGAAAGCTGACGAATTTGTTGAATGGTGGAAGTAAAAAAGTAAACATATGCAAGCAGGCTTTTGATACCGTTGTTAATTGTCCATGTAACACGCTACCGGGTAAACGGTAGCAATGAGAAGCGCATGTGCTGTTGGTGGGAAGTAAATCTGGAACGTCTTTTGTAGGGTAGTTTCACAATATCAAGTGCCATTAAAACGTGGGCAGTTTTACATCCTGTAATTACACTTTTTAAAATTTAAGCAAATAAATTAAAATGGACTGAAAGGTTAAACATAGTTGTATTTTTAATGGATAAAAATAAAACAGACTCTAATGTTCAGTAAGAACTGTTAAATACATCTGTTGAATAAAATACCATGGAACCATTTAAATGCTTGGAATATATGTACATAAAAGGTAGTTCTAAAATTTTAAATTATAAAGGCAAAATGCAAAGCAAATACTTTTTTAACTTGGAAATCTATATGCTATTAATGACATTCATATATGACTGGTGGGATAATTCAGATTTATTTTTCTAACTTTCATCTTTGTATTTTCTACAATTAGCACTTATTACTTGTATAACAATTGAAAAATGGAAGTAAAACATATTCAGAAGAAAATATACATGCACTCATACACACACAAGCACACACAAGGACAGAAAAAGAAAAGAAAAAGAGAGAGAGGGACAGAAGAGAGTTAAAAAATGGATATAATGAGTAACCTTACATTACCATAAATTAATAAAATAAGATAATTTCAATTAGCCCCACCCTATTGTAAAAACAACCAAAGGTAATTGTTTGTTTGACTTAATCATTTTTTGGCATGTTCTATGGCTGATAATTGAAAACGGATTAAACTGTTAGTACCTATGGCCTCTGAGGAAGAATATGGTCAACAAAGGGCCTACGCATGGACATAAATCACAAATCAAAACCATTGTTTGGAATCCACCAATAATTTTTATTAGGCCTGAATTTGTTTATTAAGTGTGGAATAAGTTTCATATTTTTGGAGTAAATGCCCAAGAGTGCAATTGTTGGACCATCTATCAATTTTCATCATTAATTTTTAATATATGGTTTATAGCCACACCCATTACACCTCCAGCTTATCCAATAAAAACAGAATGAATCAGATCGAATTGTATAGTAAATTTCTTTAAAAATATTATGACACAAAAACATTTATCTTGTACATAAAACAGCAAGTGACATAGCCAGTGAAATATTGAATAAATGATATCTTCAGAAAATCAAATCAATATCTTGATATATACATTCTATAGCATATTTCTATATTCAAAGTTTAAGTATCTTAATGGTAGATAACTAGTTATCTTAATGAAACAATAGTCAAAGAAAGTTTTTACTTCTTTGATTTACTCAAAATATACTCATATTCTCAAATCTCATTCTCTCTCCTTAAAAAAACTGTTTTAAACTCTTAACATATATTCAAGTTACCCGAATGAGTAACTCATATCATTTCATCCCAAACTGACATTTCAAAAGATGAGTTCAAGTACATTTGCAGAGATATTTTTTAGTTCATTCAAGCTGAGCAGTACTTCTTATCTTTTGAAATGTCAGGTGGCTGGTCTGAGGACAATGGGAACAGATCTCTTTTAAACATCATCATACATGTGGGTATAGGATTATGCCTTGGTTTCTCCGAGCACACTGTAGGAAAACTGTGATTTATTAGTATGTGAAAGTTTTTATTTTCCAGGAAAAAGAAAAGAAAAAGCACTTGAAAAGTAAAAAATCAGCCATCTTAATTAATTTGTATTGGGAGTTTTACTTGGAGTCTTTTTTTTTATGTTTGTCATTTTGGATTTTCTAATTACTTTAAGTGGGTTAAAATGGTCATTATCATGCAGTAATGTAGTACTATAAAAATCTGAAAACTCCATGATATAGACCAAATATTTTTAGTAGACTTTTGAAACCTACATTAGGCATTAAAAATATTTTTTTAAATTGCAAATAACCACATAAAATATGCATGTATTTTTAACCCCACATGAATAAATGTTTACAGTTCCCCTATTTGCTTACAATCATTAAAAATACTGATGAACTTCTGCATTGCATAAAGCAGATTGAACACATGTATCCACTTTAGATTTCCTATGACATGCTACTAAAATGACTAATAAAGGGATTTTTTCAAAACCACACAATGTCATAAGGAGCAAGAGAACAGAAAAGCAGAAAACAGAAAAATATTTTGGAGGATGAACTGAAAATGGATGTGATAAATAATTTAAGAGGTCCAAGGAAGTTGAATCCTAAATCAATAGGTGCAAAAACTAATTAGCAACCTGATTTTTATGAGTGCCAAGAAGGATCTGAAATGTATGGCATTAGGTAACTCTGATAGTGGAATAATGGAATAGAAACATGAGTTGTGGTTGAGAGTGTGTTTTAAAAAGAATCGGATTCCCACATCATGTCCCTCAACGTATGTAGTTAGATACATTGCCCTCTGCCTTACACAACTCAAACCTGGAGTTTTATTCTCTGAAAAAAGTTAAACAGAAGATCTCTGTTCTAGTTTATTTTAAGCATAATGAAGATAAGAATAGCCTCCTGCATACTGTATGTTACAATATATTAGTTGTTATATAATGTAATGCCAACACTCAGTTACCCTAACACTCAGTTATTTGAAACAATATTAATCACCTTAAAGTTTCTGTAGGTCTGGGACCTGGGCACAGCTTAGCTGGATTCATGGTCCCTCAAAGGCCAAAATCAAGTTGTTGGATGGAACTGTAGTCATTTCAGTGCTTAACTGGCAAGGGATTTACTTCCACGTTCAGTCACTTTTTCGTTGGCAGGATTCTGTTCCTCGCAAGCACTTAGTCAGAGGCTATCCTCAGTTCCCTGCTATGTGAGTCACTTCAACATTACATTTTGCTTCATCAAAGTGGGCAAGTTGACAAGGTGAAAGTGTGCAAGCCAGACAAGAGTTATAAACTTTTACAACCTAATTGTATTCCAAAATTTTATTCTATCCCTTTTGCCTATTTATTAGAAACAAGTCACTAGGTCAGCCCACACTCAAGTGGAGGGGATTATACAGGATATGGGGGACATTTTGGGAAGTGTGCCCACTACACATGACTCTTTTGTGTGGAACTACAGAACTGCCAACCTTTCTTGCTCACTCAGCTTAGAATCCGTGAAAGAGGAATAAGACATAAATATGGAGAAGTATTAAAAAAGCTTTTGAAAATTAAATATATATGATTGAAATAAAAGTTTCAATTAGAGGATTGATTATACAGTGAAGAAAATGAAACAAGGAATCAAAAACTTGGGATATAGCAGAGTGAATATAAGACATTCAGATAACTTATCAGAAGGTCAAACATTCAAAATAATAATTCCAGAGGGAAAGAAAAGAGAGTAAAAGAAATAAAATCATAAAAAAATTACAGTAAAACGTCTGAAAATGAGGGACACAAATTTGCATATCAAAAGCCCATACCCCATTACAAGTGATCAGTAAAATGGATAAAAACAGACTAATTCAAAAGCTCAGTGACATGATATGTTTGAGCAATAATGAAAAAGAGGTGAGTCTATTGGCTTCTAGAGAAATAAAAAAGTATTATAAAAATACGCACAGGAAGAGTCAGGCATAAAAATCACTTTAAGTGTGTGAACAGCAACACTGGATAATAGAAAACAGTGGAGTAGTGTCTTCAAAATTCAATAGATAAAATATTTCCAACCTTGAATTTTACATCCAGATGAATTATCTTTATGTGTGAGGACTGAATAAATTTATATTCCTCAGTCCTTCATATTCAACCTTTCTTAAAAAGGTACTGGATGATGTGTTTTACCGAAACAAACCAAGAAATAATTAGAGAAAATATGTCTCCAGCGCTGAGATAAAGGAGATAGAATTCTTAGAATATGGTCAAGGATGATCTCAAGATGAGATCAGGCATGGAAGCCAAACAGTCCTGATTGGAAAGATGAGAAAGTTGATGGAAGATTTATTTCAGAAGATAAAACTGATAGAATGCCTGATGCATATTAATACAAGGTAAAGAGTCATATAATTAGTAAATAATTTGGGATTATTTTAATGATAGGTAGAAAGAAAAAGACAAGTTATTCAGGAAAAACAAAGTTTTAAGGAAAAGACAAGTAATCATATACCTCTTGAATGACCTGTTATTAGCATTCACATAGTAATAACAAAGCAAATGGTGAATATAGATCTAATAAAATTTTTGATAAGTAGAAGTGATAGGAGGCTATGTGGAATGGCTATAGAGGGGAATGATAAAAGAGAATTCCTTATCTCTATAAATACAAAATCAATAGGATATATATATATATGCAATCTGACAATTAAATTCACAAAATCATCCTAGTAAAAGTGCTGCATACCTACCTCATTGCTGAATATCACTATGGTCACCTTTGAAGTACTCCCCTTGGGAAGCTATGCACCAACTCCAGCATCTCGTTCAGCCTTCAAAGCAATTTTGGAACTCTTTCTGGAATAGCCATCAGAGCTGTCTTCATATTACCCTTGATGTCCTGAATGTCATCAAAATGTCTTCCTTTCAATATTTCCTTTATCTTCCAATAAAGAAAGAAGTCATTGGGGGCCAGATAAGGTGAGTAGAGAGCATGTGCCAATACAGTTATTTGTTTACTGGCTAAAAACTCCCTCATACACAGTGCCGTGTGAGCTGGTGCACTATCATAATGCAAGAGCCATGAATTGTTGGTGAAAAGTTCAGGTCATCTAACTTTTCCATGCAGCCT